TGGCTAAGTGAGTACCTGTCCGTCACGCCCGTCTCCGCCCGTGTCTCCTTGTCGTAGTCTTCGCCTGCACCCTTGTCTCTCTGTCTTCCTGAGCTTTCATTCTGCGTGGTACAGTACATGAGGGGTGTGTCTACTGCACATGTGTGTCAGAGACAAGGCGTTTGTTCCACTGAGCACAGTGTTGCAGTACAGTGTACACTACAGCTGTAGTACAGTGCGGTGTGGTGTGTGCTTGGTACAATGTGCAGTGTGTGTGGTACGATGTGCAGTTCAGTGTGTGCGTGTGGTACGATGTGCAGTGTGCGCTACATTGTGGCTTTTTTCAGGCTTCATGAGCAGCTGAACGAGTCTGACCAGGCAGCTCAGTGCTACGTCATTTACATCCAGGATATCTTCTCCTGTGGGGTGAGTCTGCGCTGCCTATTTCCTGCACAACTGCACATGCTGCATGGTACGGCATTTGTGCACAGCTGTACAACTGCGCAACCCCACTGAACTAATACACGCCTACTGCACAGTGTAAGCACACAAAGCAATGCACATGTTCATTAGATGATCAGATCACAATTGCTGTGAGGACAATGTCCTAACGTGTCACTCCGTATCTCCACTCCGTAGGAGCAGCTGGAGCATGTGGAGCTGAGCACGGCGTTCAGGTATCTGGGCCAGTACTACTTCAAGAACAAGCGCTACGACGAGGCCTCTCTCTGTGCCCAGCGCTGTTGCGACTACAATGACGTGAGTCAGCCTGCGACCCGTGTCCTTCCCAGCATTCCTCAAGAGTCGCGCGCAGTGTCCAGTCCATGGGGACTGTGTCAGCAGAATGGACTTAATGGGCATCATCCATGTCCATATTGTAATGACCTGCATCTTCCTAGTCTGAAATCTCACATTGCAGCCAGTGTGTCATGATGCCGTGTGATAAATATTCACACTGCGGCCGGTGTGTGGCGGTGCTGTGTGCTAAATATTTTATACCGCGGCCAGTGTGTCGTGGTGCAGTGTGCTAAATATTGCCTGTTTTGGCAGTAGCTGTGATATTGAAGTAGTTGTTGGCTTCTGGCTGGCTGCTGCTCAGATTAAACTAACGCCCCTTGTCATGTGAGTGCGTGTAATTAACAGCCGTGATGTCGTCTTCCCCAGGCCCGGGAGGATGGGAAGGCACTCCTGCGCCAGATCTCTCAGGTCAGAGGTCAGGGCGAGGCCGCGTCCTCTGACCTCCCTCTGCCATTTGTCTTCGGGCCGCTGTCCAACAACAACACCCCTGT